TTCATAGAACAACGTTATCGGTGCCAGTTTGGATCGATTTTAAAATTTTGATTTTCGCATGCCTTCAAAATATCCTGATTCCTCATAATTTCGTACCACGCATCCGAATTCAAGCGGAATCAGATTAGACAGAATTCATCAAAGTTGTATGATCTTGATTCCATTTCAATGTTCATCAACAGTTCTATTATACAGTGAAGAGAATAACCATTTCTGAAGACGTGTGCACCATAAATCAAGAAACTTAGCTGAAGTAGGCATGCCACCTTACCCAAAAAAGTACTTCATCATCCTATATAATTAAATAATTTAACTTAGCTGAGAAATGATTCTGTCACAAATAGATGCTGCCATGAGAAGGCCCCGATGCCCCTCTGCTGGTCAACCATGACCTGATTTCCTTTTGTAGCTAGAACAAATTCCAATTTGAGTAAGCCACATGCACACCTCGTGCCTGAGTTTACAAAGAGTGTAGGAACCTTATTTCAGAGTGCAGTTCGAGTCGGGTTAAACTTGGAAAGAAAATGATTAATGCAGATGAAAGTGAGGCCCTGTCTACACACAATTCCTGGAACTGAAGAAGGGGGTGGAAGGATTGTTCATATAGTCAAGCTTTCTTTACAAAGCAAGAAAAGAAAAAGTTAATTGATTATAAACATTTACACCAACTGTAGCCCTACAAAAGTATTCTTTCATAGCATATTACTACTTGTTCCCCTAACAGGTGTGCCAATGCACTCAAGACATACCCAAGCAAAAAATGATATTAACCTAGAAGAATTAATATGCTGACTGCCTGGCCAAACCAGACAATAACCAAAAAGAGATTCTGCCTGCCCTAATTGCTTCGGTCATATATAGAATTGAAGGTCATAGTAGCAAATGAAGTAGTTATGTTTTCTGATGAAGATGACGTATTGATAAACCTCCCTGAGGCAGATACTGTGTAAGATGAAGGTCTTGCACTGGCCTTATCTCTGTGGCCTTCTGTTTGATCCATGAATTCATAAAGCAGTCCTGGTTTGGATATCTTCTCCTCGTTCACATCTCTTTCACCTGTCAGCATCTCAACAACAGTAGACATGGATGGTCGGAGCTTGGGCATGTCTTGAGTGCAGAGAAGGCCAATCTTTAGGAATCTGCAAGCCTCCTCAACATTGAATATTCCGTTCAATGCTGTGTCTACTAACTCCACCAGCTGCTCCCTCTCATGGTGTTCCCACACCTGCAACACGAATGTTTATTTGATAAGTCTTCTCAAGATTCTAGTAGTAATTCTATCAAATTGCAAAATTATCAACCATTTCATAGCTAATAGAGATCATTAACCTTAAAAAAACGTAAAGGGTTTTCACTAAAAATAAGCACCTAAAGAAGCTTGATGGATTCATCAAGAGGCTCTGGTGCAGTCATGAACAAACATATCACATAGTCTCAGAACCATGTTCTAGTATTAATATTGATACCCCACAAATTGAAGGAAAGTAATTTGCTATCAAGTCAATTATGATGTTTTGAGTCAATTAACAATGTTATATAAAAAATGGTTCTGATGAACTAAAATAATTATAAGGAAGAATGCTAGAATATCCAGGTTATATAACTATTCAGAATTTGGTGGGAAAAAAGAAATCCATCAAAAGAATTTTCAAAGTTATAAGGTTGTGATCGTGACAATTCTTTTACATGTGCTTTAGTGCCATTAATCAGCAAAAGAATTGCCATAAAGTTGTTAACATCGGTTTTATCATTGCTGCTGGCCAAGAAATTGGCAAGCTTTCTTGCAAGGCTAGTGCACCTTAACTACAGAGTAAATGCCTAGTCTTTCTTATACTGTTTTCTTTCGAAGATTCTAACACGATGAAAGGAAATACATCTTCCATAGAAAATAAGAAGTTTAATTTTTGCTCTCTCCTACAACTGTAAGAGCAATCTTAAGAGAATACATGATACAGTCACAAAGAGGCATCTGTTTCAGTGAGGGGGAGCTGGGGCACAAAGCTATCTAAAATAAGATATGCAGAAGTTTACAGGGTAAAATATAAGCCCTGTTTGTAGATGAATGTGAAGTTGCACATCTAAAATAAGAAGTGCAGAAGTTTATAGGGTAAAATATAATCCCTGTTTGTAGATGAATGTACATCAAAAGAAATGCAGAAGTTTACTGGGTAATGTACATCACTCCCGCACATGTTAATGTAATAAATCTTATATTATTAATTTATCATTACTGATTACTATACATAACAAGTAAAATCTATAAGCCAGTCGAAAGGGTTCAATTTAGTCATGAAAGCAAATACTAATTCATAGAATTATACGATATTTCAGAAAGGTTCATACCATTGGAAGAAGATATTGTTCTTTTAATGGTAATCGTCTGTTTGTGTTGCACCTCCCGCAAATAATTTCCAAGATCAGAACACCAAAACTGTAGACGTCTGCTTTCCTTGTCACCTGACCTCGTATGGCGTACTCAGGTGCCAAGTAACCTCTGCAAAAATCAAACAGGGAGCCAAGTATGTCAACATAATCACAGTAATCTGGTAATAGTAAAAGAAAAGGAGATAAAAAGTTTAGTGAAAATTTATGGGCAAGACTTCAAAGGTCAATTTGTATAATTATCTGATCATGGTCACATATTTGAAGACATCTATGATAATGTTTAGACCAGAATTTAGGGCTGCATTCACGTTCC